TCTTAGCATCTTCCTCACTGTGACTCTGTCGGTGAATTTGTGCAAACCACCTGATGTGCTGATATAGAACACGGGCAGACTTCTTAGAGCTTTTCCTGTTTAGCTCAGAAAGGAAAGTTGTCTAAATTACGTGAGTGGCTGTATGTCAAGAACCAGTAAGCCCAGGCTGACTTCTAAGTCGGCCCCAGATTTCCTTCCATTAGATGGCAAATTACCAAAACTTACTTGACACTTTTATTTTAAAATCATGGGATAGAACTTCAAAATAAATAGAGTATTTGTTATATGTAGAATTTTTAAAAGGCTCACAAATGTGTCTGTCTTTATTAGCATATTGCTAGTTTGATTTATGAGCTAATTTTTAGAGTATATGAATAAAAATAGTGGTAAGATCTCAATAAACTCAAATGGCTTTTTGTTTAAGTATGTAAAAATGTTCATAATTCTGAGTATACTAAAAGTTGAGTATCAATGATCTGAAAATCTAAAGTCTGAAATGCTCCAAAATCCAAAACTCTTGATGCCAACAGGTGAAAAGGGCACACTTGCTCTCGTGTGACCGATCACAGTTTTAAAAGTACACTGAAAGTATTATGTAAAGTCACCCAAGGCAATGGGACATAGAAAGTATATGTGAAATATTAATGAATTTTGTGTTTAGGACTTTTGTTCCACTCCCAAAATATTGTATTTACATGAAAATACTCAAAAATCTACCAGAAGCAAATCTGAAACACTTCTGCTGTCAAGTATTGAATAAAGAACGCTCACCCTGTCAGAGCTACATATCTGTTCAGAATTAATTGCGTTAATCAAGTTTTGCTTTTTTTTTTAATGGAAAAAATTTTATTATTACTGTTAAAATGTTAGTAAGCTATTTTTAAGTTGCCAAAAAACATTTCTGTTCTTTCTGAAAACTGTTCATAGCTGTAACCATGGAATATCTAGAAACTAATTATGAAAAAACAAAAATGTTTATAGGAAAATTATGTCTCATAAATGTTACAGTTGGGAAAACAGCTATGTTGTAGAATATGGACTATTTGAAAGTTTTATGATTTTATTGGCTTTTCTTTTTTGGTAAATAGTATCTTGTAACTTCAGTATTTATACTGACAAACAATGTATTTTAAGAAACTAATCTTATAAATTTTGATGTCTTAAAATATGAGCCATATTTACATATATTTTTAATATATAGTATGTGATATCATTTCTACTATGCTAATTTTTTGGAGTATACCATTTTACTATGCTAGTTTAGGTGGTTTCCTTACTGATATTGGCAAATTATTTGGCAGGGAGAATCTGAAAATGTCATCACAGCCATCTAGTTTATTAATTTATTAATCACTTTGTTTAGTTTGAATATCAGCAGCTTTCCTTTCTTCCTACTATTTTAAAAGGATAAATTGTTGCAATTTACTAAGTCGTGCTTCTTTCTCTTGAATTTATACCATATCTTCTTTATTAGGTTTGGCTGCATTCTCTGTAATTTTTAGTACATTGGCACTGCTACTTTAGAATAGGGTTTGTTTTGTTTTTGGCATAGAATTACTTGTACTGTTAAAATTTTTATCTTGATTCCTCTTCAGGAAACTAGGACATTTCCTTTTCTCTAACATATAGTTATCTCCAAATGAATGGATTATATTTCTGATACTTGATGATGTGCTCATTAATTATGTGGTCATTATTAAAAAGACATGATTTTTCTTATTTATAAATGCATGTAAAATATATGTTACTCTTTTGTGTTTGATATTTAATAAGATTTTCTTCTGTGTTATAAAAATAGCTCTTTTGCTTAATGTAGATACATTTTTGTTTACTTTTGTTTTAAAAATGGGAAAGTAGTTATCAGAATTCTGAATTTGCAGCTCTTTCAGTATCTACTGTTCAGTTTCAGATTGACCTTTGGGACTTGGCATCATGGGTTTTTAGCCATTTGTTTGAGAGTCAGCAAAATAATAAATTCAGCACACATACTCCCAAAGTTAGAAACATGTATTCTGCAAATTTCTAGCGGAAACTGCTCAGTTATGATGTATTTCCGTACTCTGGAGGGACAGACAGACTTGGTTGAAATAAGTGTTGGTTCATTTCTTTGTATATGGGTTTTATGTAAATAATCACGTTTTTAAACTGTACAAGCCCTAGAGAGCTACCTGTTGTCTGATCTTTAGACTCACTAATTATATCTTCCAGGGTTGTTAAGAATAGGTAAGCTATCTAGGCGTATTTGGGAAGCATTTTGTTTTTCATTATCTTGGAATTTGGATAATAAACATTGAACTGACATTTTTGGAATTTTGGAACAAGTAATTTTACACTTATCATCAAGTATATGTGATGTGTTTCTTAGTATTCTGTACTAGTCAGTGGATGTCCCATTTTATAATTTTATCCTCATGCTTTTATCTATGTACTTTGTGAATTTTCTGGGTTGAACAGGTTCACTCATGAGAAAAGCTCCTATTCCCTTTATCTTCTCTTTATAAAGACATGCCATTAAATCATCATGCTTGTCACAGGTTTAAATCGAATTAATTCCTATCTAGTAGTAGGCACTTAATACACTTAAAGAATTAAAATTTTAACATATTTTATCTCTTGATTTCCACTTTTTCATTGTGTATTTTCTGGTTTATCTTTATAATTTAACCAGTTTAATCTTCATTTTGAGCTCCTTATTTAGTAGTATCTTCTCTACATTTGTAGTATTTTATCTCTTCACTAAGGGTTTCTTGGCCAATTACTTATAATTCCTTGCTTTAAATGTAATTCATCTTCTTCTCTTAGAATTCATATCAGTATATAAGTATGCTTATTTCAAAGGTGCTTGGAGATTTTATTACTAAAATGTTTGTTGAAACTTTTCATCCTAGAGCTTATTAAAAGTGGATTCTGTTTATGGCTTCATTCAGGAGCATTAGATTTCTCATAATGTGTACATCAGTTGTAGTTATGTTGATGTTTGAAGAATCATTAGTGTAATTCTTTTTATACTGTGGTAAAGCCAGTGATTATGGAGACAAAGCCTAGGATTAGAAGCTTTTGATGCCACTTTCATGCATAGAAAAGTGATATCTTTGTAGCATGAGGAGCGGGCTTGTTAGGGTTTCTGTCCTGCCCAGTTCCCACAGCCGGTAAACCCCAAAGAAAAATCACACAGAGATTCTACATAAGTTATAAACTGATTGGCCCATTAGCTCAGGCTTTTTATTAACTCTTACAACTTATATTAACCCATTATTCTTATCTATGTTAGTCACATGGCTCGGTACCTTTTTCAATGGGGCAGGTCACATCCTGCTTCTTCTGTGTCTGGGTAGGACTGCGGGAGAGCTTCCTTCTTCTCAGACTACACCTGTTTTCATTGTCCCACCTCTACTTCCTGTCTGGTTGTCCCACCTATACGTCCTGCCTGGCTACCGGCCAGTCAGCGTTTATTTACAATATAATTGACAGAATACAGAATTGTCCCACACCATATCTTGACTATCCATATTTCTGGAAGAGTTATAATTTCATCTTAGTATTACTACTTACTGGTTTAGAATTGCACTGTTTCTTTGCATCATATTGTATATTTTAGGTTTAATGTTTAATTTTTCTTTAATCTTGTACCAAATGTTATTGTTGACTCAAAAAAGTCCCCTGCTTGTCAGAAGAAAACCAAGATAGCATTAAAAACTAGTTTCAGATTGGCTAATTAATGTATAAGCAAAGTGATTCTACACTCATATTAAGTCTTATTCTAGAATGGATAATGATTATAGAAGATGTAGGTATTCTGAGAAAGTTTTTTGTACAGTTTTGGTTTTGAAGCTTCCATTATAAAGCTTTACATCACTTATTAATGGCTGCCATTTTCCAGATGACTTTATTTAGAGTCATTTGCCTGGTTATTGTCTGTGCTTGTAGACTGTTAAGACTTGACTAGACTTTAGCAATCACATAGAATTGTCAGTTCAGTCCAGTGAAATGACCACTTACATTTTTCTCAAAGACATTAATCTAATATAGCAAATACAAATATAAAAAGGGGTTGATCTAGATAAAATAATGTAATTAGTTAGATTCAGTGATTTACTTGCTACTTCAGTAAACAAAGAGGCTCTCTTTTAATAGATTAAAAATATGTTATATGGACTGGTGAAATGACTCAGTTGGTAAAGATGCTTGCATCCAAGTCCTGTCCACCTAAGTTCAGTCCCTGGAACCCACTGGTAGAAGAAGAGAACTGATTTCCCCAAATTGTCTCTAACTCATGCCATGGCAAGTGAATGGCTATAGTTTCTTATCTGTGCATGTGTACCTACATAAAAATAAATACCAAACAATTAAAAATATGTTAATGCTTTTGGAGACTGCAGAATTTAGTATAAACAAGTGTTCAGTTCATGGTGGTTTGTTTAGCAGTACTCTAAAATGTCTTAATTATAACCTTCAAAGACACTGCTCTAAAGTAGAGAGAGTGAAAGCTTTCCTTCTTCGAGCTGGCCTAATCCCAACCTGTCACTAAGCTCATCATTGGCCATAGGGGTGTTGAAATAACTATGCAAAATGTTTTCTTAGATTGCTGTATTTTATCAGGTACCTGGATAACCATTAACTGTTTAAAATGTTATGCAGCTTTAAATCAAACTTACAGCTTTAAACAGCTATAAATAAAATTTAGTTTCAGATTATTTTGTGTGAATTTTCACTGATTTGCTTTTGTAACTATTCTTTAGAGGAAAATATAGCATTGTAAAGTGTGTTGTGAGATGACTGTCGACTGGTCAAGGTGACTTATAAGTACCCAGACTTAGAATATAGCCTGGGATTTTTTTCTGCCAGTGGTTAACTATTATGAGATTATAGTTCATGAATGATTTTGATATTTTCCAAGGATTGTTTAGTATATTTTGTCTCTTGTTGGCTGAGAAATTTATGAGTAAATTTAAAATATAATTAAGACATAATAAATTTTGTCTTTTATTCCCCCCCTTTAGGGTATGAGTATTATAGAACAATTAGATCCTGTATCTTTTAGCAATTATTTGAAGAAATATCATAATACTATATGTGGAAGACATCCCATCGGGGTGTTATTAAATGTGAGTATACTTAGGAAGTCTTGACCTTTAACTTCTGATGCTGTCCTATTTCAAAATATCTAAAATGTTACCATTTTGGTATGATAACTTTGTTGGCTTTGTTACATAGTGTCAGTTTCTTCCTGGTAACTTTTAACATAATTATAGGTTTCTACTACTTTGTTTATTTGAATAAATTTACCACTGGAACACAGATCAATAATTTTTGTTAACACAGATAGTCATATTTTCTCTTGACTCAGTCAGTGCTGATACACTTTTCTTTTTCAGAAGATTGATTTTGGGTTTGTGTGTCTATGCAAACATGCAGGTGCATATACACATGAATGTGTTAGACACAGAAATTAAATGGATGTTGTTCATTATCTAATAATGTAAAATAGATTGTATATGCCTTTTTCTCTTAAACAATAATGGTAAAACTTAACTTTATTTAAAAGGTGTCAGTAGAAGCCAGGTATAATGAATGGCTCATGCCTTTAATCCTAGCGCTTAGGAGGCAGAGGCAGGAGGATCTCTGTGAGTTTGAGGCCAGCCTGGTCTACATAGTGAGTTCCAGAACAGCCAAAGCTACATAGTTGAGACCCTGTCTCAAAATATACAAAACAATCTAAAAAGAATTTTAAGAAAGAAGTTTTGGTTTAGTTGGATTTATAAAGCTAAATTACATTTGTTTGCCTCTTAATAAATAAACATCAATTTTCTTAGAAAATGTAATGCTCTTTAAGAGGAATAAGAAAATGTTTTAGGAAGATTCAGTGGCTCATTTGTTTTGGAAGGTATACAAGAAGGTTAACCAACAGTTGGAACAAGGCGCTTGATGTTCACATGATTTGATAGTTGTATATTATGGATTTTTATGAAGTTTTTTTGTCTTGTTGAAGTAGTTCAGATTGGGAGCTGGAGAGATGGCTCAGAGGTTAAGAGCATTGCCTGCTCTTCCAGAGGTCCTGAGTTCAATTCCCAGTAACCACATGGTGGCTCACAGCCATCTATAATGAGGTCTGGTGCCCTCTTAAGGCCTGCACACAGACAGAACATTGTATACATAATAAATAAAGAAAAAAAAATAAAGTAGTTCAGATTGATTGAAGGAAAAGTTTTTCAAGGACCTGAATTAATTTCTGGAACTTAGGTTAGAGTTTGCCGCACTAATTTTCTAAAGTCTGAATAGAATCAAATAGATTTGTTTTTTTGTGTGAAAGAAATTATAAACCAGTACAAAGTTAAAGTAAAAATTATACTTTTATGTCTTTGAGTTATATAGACAGATTCGGTCTAAGTCAGATGAATAAAGGTGTCTAAGATCTAAAGACTAGAGAAAAACATATACCAATTATTAAGAAGCTAGGTTAGAGCATAATCTTTGTGAGGGTGAAATAATGAGATTTTTCTCAACTTAGCATGAGGCAGGAGACATTTAAGAAAGGGTAAAACAATTTGATTTTCAAATGTGCAAAGTCAAGCTTTTTACAAACATTTACAATGTTCTTTTTTTTTTTAAAGTCTCTCATCAACTTTTTTCTTTTTTTTTTTTAGGCTATCACAGAACTACAGAAGAATGGAATGAATATGAGCTTTTCCTTTTTGAATTATGCCCAGTCAAGTCAGTGTAGAAGCTGGCAAGACAGTTCAGTGAGTTATGCAGCTGGAGCACTCACGGTCCACTGAAGCTCCGACCCTCAGGGACACCACCTGCACAGACTCATACTCTGTCCAGGGTCCAGCCTAGCCTTTACCAAGATGTTGGTTCTGGTGTGGGGGGATTCTGAAACCTCAGACTAATAGAACTCTCTTCTCTTCTTTTCTAGTAGGTGTAGTCCTCCTTAATTTCAACTCATTTAAAAAATGCTTTATAGTTTGGGGCAGTGGAAGGAAGGCTGGGATCAAAATACTTTGATTTAAAAAAAAAAAGATGACAGTGTAAAGGCCCAATTGGCACAGTTTTTGAAAATGACTTGTAAAGCATTTAGCATATCTGAAATTTGCACTCTTTGCAGACTCATGCACATATATTCCGCTTTCAGAATAGTTTTGCAGATTGTACACAGACAAAAGGGTGGAAGCTTTTTAATAAAAGAAATTGCATTTATAAATGATCTGTATTAGAATATAAGAAATCTCCAGTTATAGACAATGACTACCCATGTTGTACAACAGATACCTTCTATTTTAGTTGCTAATAAAGGGCTACACAACTCAAAATAGTCTGATTTAAACTTATTGCTTTGTGTTATAAATGGAAATTTGATTTTTATTAATTCCATCTCAGAATTTTTGTTGAAATGGCAAACCTCAGCTCCTATGTAAGAGTATTAGAATATATTTCACTTTTATATTCATGTGATTTTTTTAAATCACAGAAATTGTAGTCATACAATTTTAAAGTTAAATTTCAAAATTAATAGTCATTTGCTTTTTTGTGTGTGAAATACCCTTTTTTGTAGTAGAATATAAATTCACGAATGCTTTAAAAACAAATAGATGGAGTCCTTCAAATATTGTGTTTGAGAGTCTGCAAATGAGGAAACATTGAAGAGTGTTATTAGTGTGTTCCAAGTCATTGCAGACCTTACCCACTATGTTTTTTCACCTCTTTAAGCAATTTGACTCTTTTACTTGAATTTTTAGCAAGAAATCATTGACAATAACAGTAACAAGGCCTACTGGACTTGTGGTAGTCCTGCAAATTTGTGTTTTTTTGGGGGGCATGATTTTTGGTGCGGCTCTTCCAACTAAAATAATGGTATGGTGTTGTATTCTTTATCATAGATTTATTCTAGTCATTTTGGCAAAAAAAAAAAAAAAAAAACCCAACAAACTATAGTTCATTAAGCCATCCTGCATGTTCTCCATTATACCTATTTTAACAGAACAATGGGTGTCTATATCACATTGGAGAGTGTTATATCTTCAGTGTTAATGCCCAAGTAGCACAATTTTTAGATGCCTTGCACCAATTTCCTTTGGAGATTTGCATTTCTTATTTATTAAATATCAATTTTATATACTCAAGAATGAGAGATTCAAAATTACCTACTTACACGTTGGGATTATACTCTTATACATCAACGATTTATTTTCCATTATTTAGATAATCTTTTGAGTATGATAAATATTTATTCTTTGTTTAATACATATTATAAAAATTTATGAATTGACAGTAGTGAATTTTTAAAATAATGTTTTCTGAGTATAAAATTTGAAAATACTGAAAAGTCAGAAGAAAAAAAATTATCTACAATCTCACTACCCAGAGATACACTGTTAAATGTTTTTCTGTATTTACTTTTAGTCCTTGTGTTGTTATGAGTGTGTATGTGTTTGTGTGTGTGCAATAACAGAATTGAGATTATAGTGCTCATACAGTGGCATTATGCCCTGTTAGCCTAAGAACCTACTACCTGTGTCTTTGAAAACTCAGTTTAAAAAAATGGCTGCCTAATGTGTTACACTGTTTGAAAATAACCAGTTCTATCTTTGAACGTTAGACTGTTTCTAATCTTCCACAGTTTTATAATGGGATGGACCTTCTATGTAAAATATGATCTCAATATTAGACCTATTCTCTAGGATATAATCATGATACTATGTGGTTTACATAGTAAGAATTTCTTAGGCCCCTTAAAATGTGCCAAATTATGTTTCTAGTTGCACCAAATTATCAGTACCCCCTCATCTGCATAATTTCTTATAATTTTTGACAAATTGTTAAGCAAGTAATTGGTTATGTCTTTTTTTTAAAGAGTTGCTTTCTAATTAGTCATTTCTTTTTTTTTTTCTATAAATGTAGAATGGGTTTTGAAAAACGTGAGAGACGTCTAGTCTTAGGAGTGCATCATACTGCACATGTTTGTATGTTCATTTGTTTGCTTTGTGACGTGGTTTGCCTGTGTAGACCACACTGACCTGGGACTTTGTGTAGCCCAAGATGGCCTCAAACTCATGTACCAGCCTTGCTTCTCAGCTTCCCTCGTGCTGGGATTGCAGGCATGCAGTGCTGTGCCAGCTTGTTCTGCTCTTTTAAAACTAGACTGTTCCTGCATCAGCTTGTCATTTCTTAGAAGGAACAGGTTTTGTGGGTTTTTTTAAATTACCTGTTTTTGGAGTAGAAACAGTTCTAAACTGATTCTGTGTTCGAGTCTAGCTCTGTCCCTGCCCCTAATCAGTGTTCTGAAGTTGTGTCCATGTCCTGCTGGCGCTTCCTTGTCTGTTCATTGTGTAGATGACCTCTTGAGCACCGTCTTATTTCAGAGTGCTGGGTTTTGCAACTTTAGTTTTTAATAGATTTTGGCATGACATGTTAGATAGGTATATGATTTAGATATTTAGATTTTTATTTCAGTTCTGAATATTTTATTTCAGGTTATGAAAGTAAAAACCTTGTTATTTCAGAGAAAGTGGGAATTAATTTATTAAATGGAGGTAACATCTAAATCATTGGACTTAGCCTTCCTATTTTAAGTGCCTTTAAAAGTTTTGTATTTCAAATATAAAATGTGAGATATATAGTTCTATAATGCAGTTCCTTTGTTAAAAATGTATGAATTATTTTCAGCAACCTTTTATTTACCTTAAATCACACAGAAAAGCGTATTTGTGGAGTCCCCTCTCTCCCACTAGTCAGTCCTTAAGAAATGTTACTCTAGAGATAAGCTAATTGAGCAGGTAAGTAAGTATTCTGCCCTGGAAATAACAAGCCCGTATAAAGAATAAAGAACCAGTGAGAGTCCAATGTCAGTATCTGTATAGTCCAGTATAGATGTTATTTCTTGAGCTCTAATTAATGGTTATGGCTATAGTTATTGTACTTTGTACTTTGGAAACATGTAGTTCATCCCCACGCCCCCCCTAGACTAGGGTTGGCAGATGTTTTCTTAGAGACCTGATAATCCTTCTGGACTTCATATGCCACACTGGCCTCTGATGTGCCATTGTGATACAAAAGCAGCCATAAACAACATGTAACCAAGCAAATGTGTGTATATTTAATAAAAATTTAATTTATACTAAGATGGAATGCTGGAATTGGCCTGCAGACCACAGTTTTTCTTATCCTAAATGATATAATTTGTTTGTAGTTTAAAGTCGGCTAATAATCTAGCCATAGTCTGCAGCAGGTGGTTATATGTTTCTGCCATGTGAGCCTTCTTTTAATTTGATGCATTTTCAGTGGCTGGATTTCTTACTGAATGTTCACAAAGGTAAGTGGGAAGTAGGGAAAATTAGGAACTCTTAGAGATTGATGTCAAAGCACCTTGAAGTCTTGTATTTGCTGAAATACATTGAGTTTATTTTGCTGCTATAAACTAACCGGGAGTAAAAGTGATGTGCTGTTTGCCTTGCTGTGTAGCCAAGGCTGTCCCCAACCTCCCTAGTGTTGGGATTATAGGTCTGCATCCCTAGGCCTGTCACAAGGAAACTGTTTCACATGAGTATTTTAGGATTCAGACAGATACTTTGAAAATGATTGTTGACTTTTGCCATGTAAAGACTTGAAAAAGTACCCCGTTCTATCACTCTTACTTTATTGAAACAGTGTCCTCTAATAAACTCAGAATAAAGGAGAGAAATTTAATCTAAATAACTTTAATTGAACTACTATTTCATCATTAAGGATCACAGAACACCTTGTCAGATGGTACTGTCAGCCCTGTAGACCTAAGGCATTTTCGATATATTGTTAAAAGTTGCCAAAATAGCTGGTCATTAGAAATTGTACTGAGGAGACTTAATAAGCCACAAACATTGTTTAGATTGGAAATTGTACATCATTGGATTAAATCTGGAGATCTACAAAGTAAGAGAAACAGGCTTGTGTAGGACACCATGTAGTTGAAGGAATAGGTGGTATTTATTTTTGAAGAGAGTACGTTTAAGAAGAAATATTTGTGTGACTGTGGCTCAGGGGAGTAGAATTGTTTTGTATTGTTCTAAATTAAGCGTTTTCTGCCTTTAATCCCAGCACACAGGGTGCAGAGGCAATTGGATCTCTGTAAGTTAGAAACCAGTTTGTTGTATGTAACAAGTTCTAGACTAGCCAGGACAATGTAGTGGGACCCCATCTCCAAAAAAAAAAAAAAAAAGGAGGAATAAGAAGTATAAATTTATGCTCCACAGTAAATGTGATATATGAGCATTTCTAATGATGAAAATTGGCTCTGTTCTCTTCAAATCATAGGAAATATTAAAAAAACTAGATCAGTGATTGTCAAAGTAGCAGTGATATCAACTAAAACTGCTTTATGAATAATTGTGTGTTTGTGTGTCTGTATTTATTTAGGGGGACAAAAGCCAATGGAATTAGTATAATTTAATAGAAGGTCATTTATACGAAGTGTTATTTTCAAATCAAAATAGATTTTAAACAATATTAACTTTTAACAGATTATAGATGGTTAAAATAATGCTTCGAACCTTAGGATAATTCTTTAGTGTAACGATATCAACAGAAAGCAAATGCTACTAGTCCCCAATACAAATGGAAGTTAGTTTTGTTTTTAAATTGCTGCTTTCTCAAACTGAAGAACAGCTATATATCAGTGTCAGGATGGTGTACTGAACTGAGAGAGCTTGTCAGAGTATTAGGGGAACTAACAGCAGCAGACAGACAAATTTTCCTGTCATTTTTCTATTATGCCCATCATATACCTGCAAATAGGATCACATTGCATGGCATATTATCCCCAGAGACCATCCTGTTTTATAAATGGCCCCTCCAGTAATGCTGGTACCTGAGACCTTAGCCTCCTTAGAATTGCTGTGGCTGAATTGTGTTTGCCTAGCTTTATCTTCCTGTGTTCTTAGTACTATGTTAAGAGGGTGAATGTTTCCAATACCATTTATTCTAGGGTTCACTGGTGATTTCAGACTGGTTTGTATCTAGGGTCTGTTGTGTTTCTACTTTCCTTTTCCTTCCTGTGTGTGTTGGGGGTGCTGTTTTCAATTTCAGTACAAGGTTTTGTCTATTACCCTATAAAGTAATGGGAAAAAAATTTAAAACCAGTTCTAATTTTCAAAGCCATAATATAATGCAATTAAGCATTTTGTTAATAAGTTACATTCAAGTGTACATTTCTTAATGCAAAGTCAGATTTGTGTTTGATATGATCTTGTATATTATCCCTGTTGTCTCAAATAACAAAAACCAAAGAAAACATAAATGCCATTATTAAAAAGCAGTCGAAGGCCAACTATATTCAACCGT